TAGCAAGAGACTTCCAATGATGGCTCTTTAACAAAATCTCTTCCTTTTGCTTGTTTTTATCCCCCAAAGGCAGTTGAGCTGTGTCTGGGGGAAGTTGGGGGAGAATTTTGTATGGCCCCAGAATCTCAGCCAATCTTGTCGGTGACCCTGACAGTGAAGACGTGGCCCTTCTCTGACGTGAAGCCGCGCAAGATAGGTTTAGCACAATGGTGGTCTTATTTGCTTGTCTGTCTCCCTCCTTAGACTGTGAGCTCCTCAGGGGCAGGGATTGTCTGCATTTGTTTGACATTGTGGCCACAGTGACTCTGACAGTGCCTGGCACACAAGAGACATTCGGTCGATGTTTGCTGAATGAATGAAAGAAGGAAGGAACAGGGTTTCCAGTGGTTGTGCAGTCCGCCCATTCCTTCATTCAACAAATATTTATGTTCCCAGGTACTGTACCAGGTGCTGGAGGTATAATGGCGAGCAAAATGGACATGGCCCCTGTCCTCATGGAGCTCAGAGTTCAGTGGGAGAATACAGCCTGTAATGAAATAGTCACAAGAGGAAACATATCCTTACAGAGTGTGCTCTGTCTTGTAAAAGGAAGTAAATGATGCTACTACTAAGACAGCATATCAAAGAAGAGCTAACCAAGTCTGGGTTGTCGCAGAAGGCTTCCCCCAGGATGTGACATTGCAGCTGGCATCTGAAGTGGGAGTAGGAGTTGAGGCCATGCTGAGGTGGAGGCTCTTCCACAGAGAAGAAACGGCACGTGCACAGCCTCAGTGGCTGGTTAAAAGATGGCACATTCAGACAATAGGATAAGATCAATGTAGCTGGAGCACAGTTTGCAACTGGGAGTGTGGGGCAAAGAAGCTGAAGATGTGGGTTCTGGTCTTTATCCTAAGAGCAAGGGGACACCACAGCAGGGTTTCAAGTTGAGGGATGGTAACAGTGACATGGCTACTCCACTGCCTGGCTGAGTTGAGGGAGCAAGAGGGCATGTGGGGAAACTAGTCAGGAGGGTGTTGAGTTAGCTAGGCAACAGATGGTGTGGCCCTGGACTGGGGTGGTGGAGACAGAGAGAAAGGATGGATTAGAGAAACAGTGTAGAGGGCAGGTGAAAGGGCTCGCTGAGGGCCGTGTCCTACAGCTGCAGACGAATGAGCAGGAGGACCCATGAAAAACTCCCAGCTTTGCAGAACTTGCTCCTAGTGTCTGTCTGCTCCTTGGTAACCTCTATACAAAGTCTCCTTTCTCGTCCGCTGGAGACTTTGGTTCTGATAACCTTCAGAGGTAGATGGATTTCCACTTCCAGAGAATGAGACTACCAAGGGCCCCGGGGTATCTGACAGGTACCTAGAGGGTCATTTTCCCAACCAAGCCCCTTGGCACTCATTCATCCTCCCATACTCACCCAAACCCAAACACGCATACTCTCAGACTCTCTGGCTCCCCAGACTTACACAGACTTCCAAATACTCCCTCCAGACCACTTCATCCTACCCTTATTTATCCTTGCCTCCCCAAAGCCTTCCATGCCCCCCTTCCCCACTCTTCTCCCTACCCCACTCAGCTCCTGCCTCTCTCTGCCTCCACTTCACCCTATTAAGAAACAACAACCCCCCAGAACTCCTGCCCCTGGCTGCTGCTCCCTGAGCCCCGCCCGCCCTCCCTCCTCCTGCTCCTCTCCCTGACAGATGCCTCAGAGCCCCGGGCCGCAGTTAAGGTGACGAGATGCAGCAATTCTTTATGAACATTTCATTCCTGCTCGCTACACGACGTAAATTAGATGGTGTGTTACATTCGGGCAATAAGAGAGATATGTCACCACGACGCTGGCCCATTGGATGGAGAGGGTAATCCTGCCGTGAATTTCATTACTGCTTTTATATAGACAGAATTAGCTCGGTGACAGCGAGCCTGATTGTCTTTCACTAGGGGTTTGGCGAAGAGCTGAAAGGATTTCACCCTGATGTGCACACTACTGAGTGACCCCGCTCACCAGCGGCTCCGCTGATTGCTTTGCACCTTGCAGACCCACGATTGGCTCAGCCTCTTCGCCATCTCGCCTCCCTCCCTGATCCCCAGCCCTCCCTGCCTGGCTTTTCTTGAAGCAAGAAGAAAGGAGACCTAATGGAGGAGTCACAAGGTCATGAAGGGGAATTTGTATGTGGGGAGGGGCAAGGTGGCAGAGTTTAAGAAAACAAAAAAACAACAATTTCTTTCTGATCAGAGTTTCCAGGATAGAAGCTATGGCCACTCACTCTTGTCCCACACAAAAGGGCAGGGAGGTCCAGGTCCCTGGGGCACACACCCATTGCCCTCAGGGCAAAGTGGGGACTGGGGAGGGGCTGGTAGATCTTCTGGAGTCTCCCTGATAGAGACTCTGGAGCTGTCATTAGGTTCCTGGCCCTTCTCTCAGTACTTTCCCGGTAGCAGCTTGGCTCCTTCCCACTTCCTAGCCAGGGAGAGTCTAGAGAAAGGAAAGCAAGGACCATTGTCACCCAGCCTGTGGACTAGCAATTCCAATGTGAAGGTGAGGGAGGGGCGCGGACTCCCTTTACCCCATTTCCCACACTCATCTGCTCGTGTCATGGCCTCCACCACACACATTCATAACACTCTTCACTGACCTCCAAAATTCTTAATAGGACCTAGATGGCCCAGCCCAGCAACCTGCAAACAAGCCCAGACCAGGGACATCCTTCCTTCAGTTTGTTTCTGTGGGAGTGGCTGGTTCTGAGACAGCCAGCTCTCTCCCTGTTGTCTTGGCCTCTACCTTGATATTTCTCACCTTCTGTCACTTTGTCCACTCCTTCCCACCCCTCTGTCAATCCCTCAGCAAGTGTCTTCTGCCAGGCCTTCCTGAGGCAGCTGGTTGCCCCTGAGACTAGCCAGAGACGTTGACCATTGCTGGGCCCCCGTTGACTGCTCTGTTCCCTTCTGGAAGCCCTGAAGGATTCCATTCCTTGGGGGCTCAGGGACCAGGCATCAAGCAGACAGAATAATCTCCTCAAAGCCCCTCGTCTTTTGGTCAATCTGACACATCTGTCAGGAAATTTTCTCTTGCGACCCGGCTCAGCCAGCTCTGTGGCCTCTGCGCTGAGAGGGATTAAGGCCACAGTCTCCACTTTCCAAAAGAGGAGGAGGCTCTCTGGGCCTTGACAGAACTGGGCAGGCCCTCCAGAGGCCTGGCGTAGGGTCTCTGCAACCTGACTCTTTGCCAGGGGACAGTGCACTGAACTAACCCCCCACTCCCCGCCCCCCAAATCAATGCACCCTCAGCTCCGACTGCCTGTCCTCCATGGAGCCCATGGCAAGGGTTCCCTTAATGATTGATCTACTCATGCAGTCACACTGAAGGAGTTTTACACTGAAAGCCCTTCTCTGTGAAGCCAAGACTAAGTTTACGGTGCTGAAGCTATACTCTAACCCTGCCGGTATGATAGCTGTGTGACAAGGCAGGTCATCACATTATCTCTGAACTTCAATTTCCTCATCTTCAAAGGAGAATGATAATTGTTGTGGTGGAGGCCGTAGTATAATGCCGCACTTCCCTCGGTTCTGAAGGACCTTCCCCAGCTGTTGTCCTGACCTGTCAGGCTTCCCTGGATTTATCTCTGCTGAAGAGAGCTGCCTCGCCTAAGGTCATGCCCCTTTCCCTGGGCAGCCTGCATTCCAATGCCTGGACATGAGTGGTATATGAAGGCCCAGCTACCTCTCCCCAACCCAGGACAGTTCTGAAGGGCCATCCCAGCCTCAGAGCCCCCCTTGTGGTCTGCTAAGGTCTTTTTTGAGACTGCAGCACAGCCCACCTTCTCCCTCTGTCCAGTCCTGCTTCTTTCTAGTTCTTTCCCTTGCACTGGTGATGATCGCAAGGGCCTGTCCCTGTAAAGCTCCTGCACAGTACTCTCTATCCCAGAGTGTACTTCCAGATCCAACCTGCAAACACTATTCCTGTCCTATCTATTATACCAATGGGGTTACTACAAGGATGTTTTGTTAAGATGAGGATGTTTTGTTAAGTAACATGGCGTGAAAAATATAGCTGCTGCTGTTTATCATCATAATCATCATCATTGTCCTCTTCATCATCTTCACAGCAGGGCCTACCCAGCTGGTGTGATGGGGTTAGTTAGCATATTCTGACCAGTAAGTAAATGACCACCCTTCTTTTTTCTCCTAAGGGCAGTCTTTTGCATTCTGCCTTTTATCTTCTAATTAAAATGACATGACCTTCCCAAATTGGCCAGACTGTCCCTCAGGAAGCTTAGCCATGGTCCCAAGGGTTAGGGGCTAAAACTGCTGGAGTTCTGTTACCCACATCTCATTCTTTGCCCCAAGAATCAGTGAGCTAAGTGCCCACCGGATTCTCTCTCCAACACTCTCTGGATGTGTTCCTAGCTGGGCTCCCTACTCCTTTACTTAAAGCATGGACTTTCCTCCCATAAACTGAAGCATCCATCCTTGAGGTGTGGGGTGGTGGCAGGTCTCAACTGAGGCCTGAGAGCAGCGTCTCCTCCCCTTTGAGCCAAGACTTCCTTCTGGGCTTTGTGTACAGCCCACCCCTCAAATAAAGAAAGCCTAGGATCCCTGTCTGCTAGAGGACAGGGAGGGGCATGGGCAATGGTCCCAGGCTATTGCTAGCCTTCTAAGTATGCTCACACTGTCTCACTACTGGGCCCACAGCCTTGTCAGCATTTTTGGAATGGAGTGGCAGGTGAATTAGATCCACCCAGAACCTGTGCTCCTCAAGAGTGTGGTGTCCTGCATCTCTTCTGGAGCTTTTCCTGCAAGGCTGCAGACCCTGATGGGGAGCCAGGAATGTGGGGGATGGAGGTTTCTCACTCCACCCCCATCCTGACGTCACAGCCCTCACTTGCTGATACTAATTGGTTGCCACGGAAACAAGTCCCTTAAAGTGAATGATGACTTGAGGTGGTGGGAGGGAGAGCCATAGAAGCCTGCCCTGCCACAGAGAATTCACAGAACCCCTCAGAATCAAGCAGGACTGCTCAGAGTCTCAATCTTCTGCTGGTGCACATTCTTTGCACATAAGGAGAAAAGTTTACCAGCTCAGGAAAATGCCCGGGACTGCACAAAGGTAATCCTAATTCACTATTCACTATTATTTCCCACTGTATCTGGGAGTCTCTCTGGTCTTTAAGTGAGGAGATCTTGCTACAAAGTCAGAGATAGTCCAAAGCAAGAAAAGTTACCATTTATCCTAGAACAAATGAGTATCAGATATGATATGGGCCTCTCTCCTCCTCAGATCAGGTTATCTCTTCTAAGAAACCGTCCTTAACTAGCCAATCTCCCATTCTTCTCCATCACACTCACACACACACACACACACACACACACATTCAACTACTCCCCTTACCACTTACTCACTCTAGAGCTTACATATTCTTTTAGTCATTCACTCAACAAGTATTTACGAGTCTCTGGTATGTTGTAGACCCTCTTCTAGGCCCTAGGGATAAAGCCAGGAGCTAACAGGGCCTTGCCTTTATGAGTCTCACTCTCAACATCTTATATCACGTCCTCTACTCACATGCTTATCCCTTTAATAAGTATCTCTAGGTTTTCTTTTTCTATCTAGTTTCCCAAATGTGGTGAGCTATCTGGTTGCTGGTAGGGTGGGGTGCACTTTGTTTATTATCCCCTTCTACCCATGGGCTTTCCAAGAGTCTGTTGGTGTACATCCTTTTCTGACACTACATTCCAAGATTTGGGGCCCCTCAGCCTCCCGTGTCATCCCATCACTCTCAGCACCAGCCTTCCAAGGACCCTGGATTCTTCCATTCTCTTTCAAGGCCAAGGAGCAGAGGAATGGATGGGACTTGACGATGGGAGCAGAAAGGTGTGTCTGCTATGCGTCTGCCGGAATGCACGCATGGGCGCCAGATACAGGGCTGTGCTTTTATGCATCTGCGTCCTGCTGTCATGCGTATGCACTTATGTTGGCCAGTATCTGTGATTTTCCCCAAATTGGCCAGTACAGAGGTATGAGTATGTGTGTGATTCCACTTATGAGCATGAGTGAGCATGTGTTCAGGGGAAGGGGAGTATAGGGGTATGTCTCTATGTGTGTTTTTTCCAAATGCTTGGCTTTTTTCAAAATGGCTTAGAGCACTACTGTCATTTATGGGGTTTAAAATGTCAGAACAGGGCCTGCGGGGAGGCAGGGGAGATTAAACTGCAAACAGTGAAGGTTATAGATGACGTTTCTGATAGGCTGACAGGCGGACTCAAATGATGCTGCACTTTAGCAATCATTTTTACACACACACACACACACACACACACACACACACACTCACTCACACACACCAGATCATCTCTCCATATTTTAATGGCATATTCTGAAGGCTGGAAAAAAAAGCCTATGTCTAGGAAACCACAGCTCTGTTTCAGAACCTAACCAGTGGCTGGCTCTGTGTGTGTGTGTGTGTGTGTGTGTGTGTGTGTGTGTGTGTGTGTGTGTACTCACTCCAGTGTACCTACTTATGTCAAGTGAACATATGTGCTTATTTGCATTTTAGTGTCTGTATAGATTAATTCCACCTCACTTTTATATAGTGCCCATAATTAACAAAATATATCACATCCAATGGTCTACTGGAGCATTATAATAACTTGTGTAAAGTAGGCAGGGTCAAGGTTACCACCCCCATTTTGCACATATAAGAAAACTGAGGCCCGAAGAGGTCCAATGGGTTGCCCAAGACCACCCAGCTAGGAAGTGGCAAAGCTAAGGTTACACTTATCCAGAACTCTTTTCTTGAGGTTGTATTCTCAACTCTGCCTATACATTAAAATCGCCCCAGGAGTTTTCAAAACCCACCAGTGCCTGGGCCCCACCCCCAGAGATTCTAATCTAATTGTCTGGAGGTGGCAGGGTTTTTTGAAGCCCCCCCAGGAACTCTAACATGCAGGCTGGTTGAGAACCCCTGCTCCAGGGCTTGGCGATGTCAGGCAGGAGCTGTGCGTGCGGCTGTCCCAGGTGTCTGATTATGTTCACATCCCCTCCCTGTGAATGAAGAGGCCGGTCTCTTTCCTCCTCAAGGTCTGTCTCTGCATCTACTTCCCAAGATCAGATCCTCTGTTTCTTCTGAATCAAACCAACTCACCACTCCCTCCCAGACTGTGGAGACTTAAAAGGATGCTCAGCTCAACCTGGAAAATGCAGAGGCTATTTGCCAGGTGCCCCACAGTTCTGGCCACCCGTTCGGGGCCAGACTGTGTTGTCTCACCAAAAAGGAGTGAGGCGAACCAGCTCCACGTAGTCCCATCAGCCAGGAGAATGCCAGGACGGTGAGGGGCAGCTGCCTTAGGGACCTAGGATGAGAGAAAAAAAGGAAAGGAACAGAAAGAAGGGACAGAAGAGGAGAGCTGACCCCTTTGAAGGTTATACTGGCCAGCTAACTGCAAAAGCCATGGACAGAGCTCATCTCACTCAGCCCTCTGCAAAAGGGACAGCCTAGCACAGCGGTTAGGAGCACAGACTCAGCGGTAGCCTGCCTAGGTTTGAATCCTGCTTTCTGCTTACTAATTGTGTGACTTTATGTCAGTCCTTAACATCCCTGTGCCTCAGTTTCCTTATCTTTAGAATGGTAATAAAAGTAATAGTACCAAGTAATAGGGTCTCTGGGAGGATTCAAGGAGTTCATGTAAAGTCCCTGACACAGCACAAGTACTCGGTCGGAGCTAACCATCATTACTCTGCATCATTTGAGGCCTTAGAACTCTCCCTTCTGGAAATTCTTCCTATCTTCCTGAACATTTTTTCTCCGTCTGCTTTGCTAGCCTTGTTCCTCTGCTCTCCCTCTGAGTCACTGGTTCTCTGCTCCGACTCCATATTATTATGGAATCCTCTAAGGGACCTTTACAGCTTCACTCCCAGAAATTCAGATTTAGTTGGTCTGGGGCGGGGCCCAGACATGTGTTTTTCAAGTTTCCTGGCTGATCCAAATATACTTACTACCAAGGTCCAAACCCACTCTTCTAAATGTTGATACTCCTTACTAAGACGCTACTCCTGGCCTTCATCTCTCCTCATTTGTCTTTCCCAAGCAATTGACCTCCTTCCATGGCCTCAATTATCATCCATATGCTGGTGAATCTCAAATCCATATACCCTGACAAGACTGCTCTCTTGAACTCCACACGCATATTTCCAACTCCCTACCAGACATCTTAATTTCCAAATGTATGGAGATAAAGTTGTTCTTAATATTCTCTTAACCTCCTGGATATCTTTACTGAGACGTGCTTCAGACCTTCCATCCCAGGTACATGTCCTAATCAAAACTCAATTATTTTGCACTCTCCCCAGACTTATTCCACCTCTTCTATTCCCCTCTCTCTGTCATTTCTAGCCATTTACCCATGGCAAGAACCTGGTGGTCATCTAGGCATCTTCTCCCACGTCATCTCCCACATCCAGTCAGGCACAAAACCCTGTCAATTCACTTGTAAGGCCCTCTCCAACCTCACTCCTCAATAGCCCCACCGCCACTGCCATTACTCAGGTCCTCTTTGTCTCTTGCCTGTACAATCAGTTGTAAGAGCTTCCCCACTGGTCTCCCAGCCTCCAGCTTTTTGGGCTGCACCCTTCCCCCATTCTCTTCATCAACCTCAGAGCTATTTTTTTTTTTGAAATGCATATCACTCCACTGCTAAAGCCCTTCAGGATAAAAGCACAACTTCAAATGGCCCTTGACTCTCTGTCCCCTTCCATTGGCCTCTCCCAAAGTGACCTCTCTACCTCACTCTTCAGTTTTCCAAATGTTCCAGGCTGTGTGACACCTCAAGGCTTTTGCATATGCTATTCCCCTTGACGTAAATGCCCTTCCTTCCTTCCCCTCTCCCGGATGCCCGTATTTACCAATTAGCTGAAGCACTAGCTACTCTAGCAAGTGGTACCTGGCTGCACGGCTGGAACCGACCACTCTCTTTTTGTCCCTACCGTACTCTGTAGTTCTCTCTATTACGTAGCCTCTCACTCTGTATTTTACTTCTTTATTTTCATGTGATCACATGGGCCATGGCTTATTTGGTTTTGAGGAGTAGAGTGAG